CGAACAGTTGTTCAGTAGACTTACAAAAGCTGAACTTTTAGCCAGCAGCAGAGAAATCTCTGATTTTTTTTTTTTTTTTTTTCTGTCTTTTTGAGACAGTGTCTCGCTATGCCGCTCAGGCTGGCCTTGAGCTCACTTTGTAGCCCAGGCTGATCTTGAACTCGCAATGATCCTCCTGCCTCAGCCTCCTGAGTGCTGGGATTACAGGCGTGCGCCACTACGTCCTGCAAAAGCTCTGATTGTAGCATTGCCAAAAGGGTCTATATTGGAGGCAATAAGAACTTCAGAGGTGGAGACCAAAGCAGGATTGGTCCCCTACCCACTGCACAGTAGATGGCTGCTCTTAGCCAAGTTGGTTCATTGTCACTTTGTTTTCTGGAGAAAGACGGTCTGTAGTATTTAGAGACATTGTCTTCTAACTGCCAGTAATGAAGAAGTTCAATACCTTTTTGACTGCAGCTTTGAAAAAGTCATCTCTTGCCAGGCGTGGTGGCGCACGCCTGTAATCCCAGCACTCCAGAGGCTGAAGAGGGAGGATCATCGTGAGTTCGAGACCAGCCTGAGCTACAGAGTGAGCTCAAGGCCAGCCTGAACTGCATAGTGAGACCCTGCCTCAAAACAAACAAACAAACAAAAAAATAAAAATAAAGAGTCATCTCTTGTTCCAATCCAGACATTTGAAGGATCTGGTCTTTGCCCCCAGAATTTGGAATTTTTACAACAATGCATATTAACATGTGTCCATTTTAATCCATTGGACAGTGCACCTAATGGTTCTTTTCATTCTGGAAATTCTCATCTTCAGTTCTGGGAAATGTCCTGAATTCTTTTTCTCTTCTACCTTCTTATTGTCTTTTGACCCTTATATTATGCAGATGCAGGGTTTTCTGGACTGCTGTACTGTTAGTTTATTTTACTATTTTTTCTTTGGTTTTTTAATTACTTAATGAATTGTGTTGCTGAGGATCAAACCCAGGGCCTTATGCATGTTATGCAAGTGCCACCACTGAGCTACAGCCCTGTCTCTATTTTTGAAATTTAAAGAAAAAACTATATTGAAGGCTTGAAAAATAATTCCTAAAAGATTATCTTTTTCCAGCTGGGTGTGTTGGCCCATGCCTGTAATCCCAGCAGTTGAGGCTGAGGCAGGAAAATAGAAAGTGCTATGGCTTGTATCTAGATGGCCCCCAAAGCCACATGTGGTCATAGGTGGGGCTTTTCAGAGGTGGCTGGGTCTAGGGTGTGTGATGCTGGGATCAAAGATATGACACTGGGATTGAATCATGGCGCAATGCTAGGATTAAGGCTGCCCCAGCCTGGGCGTGAATGCTACCTGTCCTAAGGGTGGGTAGTCTGGATGCAATATAAGGGACAGAAAGAGGGTCACTGTTTGTCTCTTGCTGTCCTTTGCCTGCCATGAAGTGCCTTCCCTCTGCAATGCCCCTCTGCCTACTACCCTGCCTTGGAGCCAGCCGATTATGGACTGAAACCTCTGCAAATTGTGAGCTGAAATAAACCTTTCCTCTTTTAACTTGCGTGTTGGGTATTTTGTCTGAGCAATGAGAAAAGTAACTAAGTAAGTCTGAGGCCAGCATGGGCAATGTAGTGACCTAGTGAAACCCTGTCTCAAGAAAACACAAAGGCTCAGGTTCAATCTCCAGTAGTACAAAAAATACCTCTTCCAGAAACTTGAAATTATTCAATATATTACATCTATCATCTTAAAATGTGCATTAGACATAAATACAAAAACACTGAAACAAGTCATCATTCAACAATGAGCAAAAATGAATTCATCTTTCCTACTTTTAAATTTTGTCTAAAAATTCTACTAGCATACTTTCATCTCACAGTTACGTTTGTTTTCTGAATGTTCATGCCTTGAAACAATATGTTCTTTCACAAATACAATACTGTGAGTCTCCAAGGATGTTAATAATATTTTACATCTTGCTTTTTTCCCCCGGTACTGGAGATCTAATCCTGGGCCATCTGTATGCTAGGCAAGCACCACACCACTGAGCTGTGTCCCTGGCCCCCTGTCTCACCTTCTTCTTAATGCCCAGTTGCTGTTTCCTCCAAGTTATTGTCTCTGCTTGCCTCTGTTGGTCTCTGCCTTTCATGTTAGAGATTTTCTTTGTTTGTCTGGTTGCTTTGCTAAGAGCACTGTGCTAGATGGATCACAGAAGCTAGTGAAGCTGAGTGTGGTCTCCATTGTGATCTGGCTGGCCTATTTCCTTGGGAGAGCTCTCAGTATTCCTTTCTCTCTTAGACTGGTGAGAGACCTCAGAGAAGTTATTCCAACCTCCTGCATGGGAAATGTACTCTTGTTTGCCACAGTTCTGGAAGCTGAATAACCAGGTAACTGGCAAAGGCCTATAGTCTAAATTTCATAAACTTGTATCTGATCATCTGTCTCCAGTATAGTAATTTTGTCTTCAACTATACCTGTGTCCTTGGGTAGCAAAGCAGAAGTAGGATGGAGCTGAAAATGGGGGAAGTGTATGACCTGATAAACACTTGGACCCAGACAGTGCTGGTACCGGGATAAATATGGAATGAATATCCATCTCTTTTCAGTGTTCCCAATGTTTTATAATGTTCCCACTTAAGAATTCATTCATCCTCAGTAATCAATTCTAGAGGCAGACCAGGTAGGCAGCTGCTGCCTATGAGGTCCTACCCAGGCCGGATGACTGTACTGCAGCTCCCTTGTGAATTAAGAGGAAGAATGAAATCAGTTATAGAACTGTTACTCTCTGCCCCAACAGCTGGAGGATGAAGCACTTGTTTGTTTCTTTTTAACAGGAAGGAAATTCTGAAAGCCAGAAATGTGAAGAGAAAGCTTAAGAAGCTCTAGTGTCTGGTGGACTTGGTGGCCCTATAAAAATGACCTGATGCCTTCCAACACGTAGTGAGGCAGAAATTTGGAGGTTGGAAATGAAAGCCTCCGTTCAAGGTACGACAATTCCACCAAGTGAACAGATTTCCAAGGTTGTAGTAGCAAAGGAAAGGAGCTCAAGGCAGGTGACTTCTCCCTTTCTCCTCTTGGTGGGGTGGGTGTGATCCAAAGGCTGGATGTCCAGTGGCCCATTTGAGTTGTCAGAGCTGTCACTCTCTGAACAGCTGTAAGTATAAGATCCCTTTGCCTCATTTTTTTCTAAAAATAGAGATAGAAAAACCTTATGTCAAAATCCAACTTCATCTTAATGTATTTTTATCGTTTTTTCCCTATTATTTACAAAAAAAAATCTTACAGGCTGGATATGGTGGCACATGTCTATAATCACAGATACTTGGGAATATGAGGCAGGAGGATCACAAGTTCAAGGCCAGCTTGGGGAATTTAGTTAGATCCTGTCTCAAAATAAAAAGGGCTCGGGGGGCCGGGGATATAGCTCAGTGGCACAAGCACCTGCCTGGCAAGTGCAAGATCCTGAGCTCAATTCCAGAAACCAATAAATAGATAAATAAATAAATATTTAAAAATAAATAAATAAAAAAAAGGGCTGGGGACCTAGCTCATGGCTCTTAAGTTCTATCCCTAGTATAAATAATAAAACAAACCCCTTAGGAAAATGTGCAATTTTGCCTCTTAGCTCCATTTTTAAAGTCATATGTATTGTTTCTCCCTTATCATTAATAACAGTTGTCAGAAAACAAATTTTGTTTTGAGAAGTGGGTCTTATGTTGCTCAGACTGGCCTCCAACTCCTTCACTCAAGTGATTTCGGCCTCAGTTTCCGACTAGTAGGGACTACAGGCACATGTGACCACTCCTGATTGGAAAACAGTTTTTTTTAAAAAACAATTTTAAAGGTTGTAACCATTCCCTTGTTGTTGGACATCACTTTCAGGTACCTCTTTGTCATTCAAAATAAAGCTACCACTCACGTATTTGAGCTTGCACCTTCTAAAATAAATATAAAACTTAAAACTTAGAAAGGTACAAAAAAGTAAGATCATCTAAATCGTAGCATTTAAAGAAATCATTATTGAATTTTAGTTCACGTTCCTCTCTGCTACATAGGAATCTGTTTTTTTGTCTTTTTGACACAGGGGCTCGCCATGAAGTTCAGGCTAGCTTTGAGCTCACTTTGTGGCCCAGGCTGTCCTCGAACTCGCGACGATCCTCCTTCCTCAGCCTCCCGAGTGCTGGGATTACAGGCGTGCGCCACCACGCCCGGCTCCTACATATGAATCCGAATTTCTAAATTTCCCTCAGAGACTTTATACGTCAAAAGATTTGGCCTCGTTTCAGGCAACGTTAACTCCTCTGCAGTGAAATTTCAACCTAGTGCGACCTTCTTTAGGGAATGATTTTTAGCTTCGAAGTTCACAATGTACCACAGATCGCCATAGCACGCAAGATCCTACTTTATCCCTTTTTAAAAACAAGCCACTGAAGTTGGGAAGCAAGTTAGGGTTGCAGCTCGGTGAGAAAAGCCCAAGCCGCCAGCCAGGAGCCGGCACCCCCCGCCCCCCGCCGCGCCTCACGTGACACGCCGCTTTTCCTTTAAAGGCTGCCCGCCCACGTGATCGCAGACGTGCTCACAGAGGAAATGCACTCTGTCAGGGGAGAGTCATTCCTCCCCCGCTTTCCCTAGAGTTTCTGGCATTCCCTCTCCGGAAGCCACAACTCCTGTGGAGACGTGGTCTTTCTCCTCCTCTCCGTCGCATCACCCACCCTCACTCCTTTCCCTTAGTCGCTGGTCCTGGAGCGCCCTCTCCGCGACAGATTCCCCACTTATCGGAGGAAGGCCAAAGGGACTACAATTCCCAGGGGCCCCCACGGCCCGCCCCCGCGCGCAGTGCACGTCGGGGCCTGAGGTCCCCGGGTCTTCGCTCCGCGTGCAGCCCTAAGCAAGCGCACTACAGGTTCCGTGGAGCCTCGCGCGCGGGCGGGGGACCGGGCCGGCCGGCTGGCGGGCGGGCTGAGGAAGGGGGTGGGAGCGGCGGCGATGGAGGGGAGGAGTGGGGGAATGGGGGAGGGAAGGGGAAGGGAGGTGGGAGGCGGGGCCGAGCCGGAGCCGGAGTCGGAGCAGGAGGCTGAGCCGGCGGTTTCAGTGGGAGCGGTGATGTCGGTGCAGGTTGTGTCAGCAGCGGCTGCCGCCAAGGTGCCTGACGTGGAGCTGAAGGACCTGAGCCCCTCCGAGGCGGAGCCGCAGCTGGGACTGAGCACGGCGGCTGTGGGCGCCATGGCCCCCCCGGCGGGCGGCGGGGACCCCGA